TTAATTTTTAATCTGCCGCGTAGCTCCGTGTCGTGAAATAATTCGCCGCTTATTATGCAAATTTAATCGCGCGTTTATCGCGAGGCGCGCTAATCGCAGATAACTTTTCCGCTTAACTTCACCGTCTCGCGGCGCGTTTACTCCTTTTTATTCTCCGACGCAACAAAGAACGTTCCGCTTTGTTTTCTCGGCAGCAGATACACCCGCAGTTTAATCCCCTCTGCGATCTCTCTCGACGCGATCATTGTGTCTTTGTAATCGTCATCTAAGTGGTTTTAGCGCGCTATAAACAATCAACGTCGTCTCTCTTTCGACACGCGGCAAATTGGAATAGAAAAAATGTTCTCTGATCCTATATTTGCTTATTCTTGAAGATAAGATTGCCGGAAAAATCACTGGGAGATTCTGAGTCGATTCGAGAAATAGATACTCTCGCAGGAAGACGAGCCCCGGAATAACTTTCCATGGTGATGGTTCCAAGAGACAGGTACTCCCGAGTGAGCTTAGTTCTCCCAAAGTTTTCCGACTCCCATCACCTTCGCGAGGGCGGAACGTCTCAAAGCGTTTCTATTATTCGGATCGCTCTGCTCTGGTCTCTCGAGTCATTTGAAGGGATATATCTCGTCGTGTATTTACTCGCTACAAAAGTCGCAAGCGTATTCGGAGATCGTGAACACGCGACGTTACGTGTGTGCGATTCACGAGGAAATTATACGTCGCGTCGATGGGGTGACGTCTGCTCGCGAGAGAAAACGATTTCGTTTGAAGATTTCACGTCTCAAAACGCTCGTCCCGCGAACGTATTCAATGTATTGTAATCGAGGAAAACGCATGCAGCGGTGCGTCCTTTATCGGTGCGAGCGTTCTCTATACAGCTTTTCCGTATATTTCCACGTTATCGTTCGTGTTTGCGTCATGGACTCGAACTTCCAATTCCTAATCGATCCGCGGCGCCAGACGGGAATCTCGGAGAGATAGAGACGCTGGCGTCTCCGCGGCTCTTTTGCACGTTACATCGATGGAGACATTGAGAGAAAAACAAGTCAAGTAGTTTCTATTTCTCTATACGCTCATTGCTCAAAGCGAAAGTCTATTTTTTTACACCTGAACTGTACTTTGCTCAAGAAAAAACCGAGAGGTTCGGTTAAATGGTCGTATATATTTTTGATATAAAAAAAAAAAAAAAACGGTGGCGTTTGCCGTTGATCTGTCAACGGAACGAAGATCTTCCACGCGTCGAAGATGAGAATTCCGAGCAGCTTCCGGAAGATAAAGCGCGCCGATGCGCGCCGCAACCTTGTGCCGGAAGCGACGTTTTCCCGCGGCCGCGCGCGACCACGCTGCGGGAAATGCATCGATCGCCGATGCATTTCGACGGCTGAACGTCACGCTTCCGGCGTCAAAGGGCCAAGGTCGGCCCGCTTAATTGCGGGCACGACCGTCAACATCTTACCGGCACGCAGGACACACAGGTCTGTTTTCCTCCCTCTCAAAAAAAAATAATTTTTAAAACTGTATGTGTTTCGCGAAAGGGAACAATCATTCTTTGTTGAAAATATTAGCCTCGCTAGATGCATGGAATTATGCAATGTCGATACACGTTTAGATGCGTTTATAACGTTGCTGCATACGGTGGAAGGAATATGAGAAAGTATAATCTCTTCTTTTCACGATGCTTTTCAATCAACTAGAACACAGATTTCAAGGAAAGATTATTTTAGAGAGTCCTTTAAATCTCTCGACCTTTTATTCACACACAAGTAACTTCTTTTATCTCGCATTGGTTACAAGGAAATATGAATGAGATGACACTCGAATATTATCTGGGTAAATAGCTCGTTAGGGATGGATTTGCTTAATGAAGAAGCGCATGACGTGATAGAACTAATTATACGTAATCCTTATTAAAGTTCGCACATTGTTATTAAAGGAGGCCAGAAAGAATCTTTGCATCAGCCGTTCTTAGCGCGCGTGTTTAGTTTAATAAATACGGAGAGAGGAGAATTCTGCGACGTGTAATTAATAATAGTCTTTCATAATTGGGTTTACGATCGGCCTAATTAGAATTTAGTTGAACTTACACGTATTAAAGTGGCTTTTCAATCTCAAATTTTCTTATAATAAAAACTATATAATGAAATAATAGCTGGCAAAGAGATCTCTATAATTAGAGATAAAAATCTTATGAAACATCATAATGTCATACTGAAATGCTGAAATTCATTTTTTTAATTTCTAAAGTCGCATGATAAAATAGTTCTTCCACTATGTTTTTTTCCGATCCCTACGTTAATTGAGATTCGTTGAAATTATCCGAAAATGAATGACGCTTCAACATAATATTGACACATACTAGTTTGTTATTTGAGAAAATCCAGTACCTATATAGTTTTGTGTACATACATACAACGCGTATATGCGTATATATATATATTTACTCGGATATTCCCGGAGCTCTTTAAATGTGATATTATTCTGTCCTCGAACGAATAAACAAGGATATAGCTTTCACACATTTCGCGTTCCACGATTAATATCTCATTTAAGCGAAAATAGGAATGTGACATAGAACTGACAATGAGTACAATTAGGATATGTCCTGTAATGGCACAATGAATCTTGTTCATATACGGATTAGATCAGCTAGCGTATTTCGAAATGGAGCAAAAATGCGAGATTGAATTTAAATGATAGATATTGTGCCATATATTGCAACAAAATCTCATCGCAAACGCGATTAATTAGATATTTTTCCAACCATTTTCAATCGCGATATTATTGCACTAAAAAAAGAGGATACGGGAATATTGAATTTTCCATTTATATCGCGTTTATCGTATCATCGTTTTGACATACGGCCATTTTATTTTATTTATCGTGTTTCTATCTTTGAATATATATTCGCGAATCATAATTTTTGCGATGCCGATGAAAGCGCGGATTAAATCTGTTAACAGCCGTTCAAAGCTTGTAAATCCGCGTTGGAAATCTCGGTTGAGAAGATTTTCCAATTTTCCCCAATTTTACCTATTGATTTCGCACGGATAACACGATTATCGTTCATGAAAAAGGGGAAAGTAGAGAGAGAGAGAGAGAGAGGGGGGGGGGGAATAGTATCAAATTAATATCAGATACTCCGCGATTTGCGCAAATTACCGTTTATTACCGTCAAATGAAGCTAGAGGGTAGTCCGATTTGTACATCGGAATTTTCCGCGAAATGGAATTTTCTCGGAATTTTCTCTTTAATGTATCGAGCACTGTTCTCTCTATCACTCATTGTCAGTGTATAGCTCTTTCAGTAACTATGACGATGTCGAGTAGAAAACTAGAAGGAAAATGCGGTCGTGAAACCGCGCGCGTACGATTTTTCTCGCGCTGTTAAGCTCCACGCTTAACCAAATGGATAAAACTATGAGAATCTTCTTCTCTTTTTACGATGGCGAGCTACATTCTCAAAATTAATATTTTCAACTATTATGGGTTATACAAACATTCGCAGAATCTCACACGTTGACGAGAAAAATGATATGGGAAATAACATTACTAATCTTTTTTTAATACATTATATAAAGCATTCTCCTTCATATGTGAAATGAATATATGTATGTGAAAGGTTGTAAAACGTGTTGGAAATATTATAATAAATTACTAGAATTTTTTTTATTAAAAATGCGGAAAAATATACAATTTTTTGATAGCAAAATATGTGTATTGACATTTTTTCAATTTATATTCTTTATTATCTATAGAGATATTAAATTTTATCGTAATATGAGAAAATACGCATATTTTATTTATATTTTGATGGTGATTCAAAAATATGTTTGTTTAATTATTTTTAAATTAATCAATCACAAATTTACAATAATGAAATTTCTTTGAAAAAAATAGAACATTTAAAAATAAAAATTGTAAATTTTTATGCACATTACTAATTAGACTTTATTGAGCGAAGAATATATCTAAATTTTTAATCGAGATTCTTTCCTTTTTAAAAAGCAAATTAGCTATAAATATATAAAGAAAAAAAAATTTTTTTTTTGTGTGGAGATTAAATATTTTAATGTACTATTTGATTTTACATAAATTTAAAAGTTAACTAAGTGTTAAATTACGACTACATGAATAATTAAGTTAAAATATCGAGGAAACCGCTCGAAAGTGCATCAATGTATTCTGAATATAGAAACCGCTTCATTTACTCTTCAGATTGCACGTTAACTATCAAGTTTCCTATGAGAGCTTTTACGTAATTATGAAACATAATTTAGATTATAATTATTATATATTTATATTTATTTTTTTATTATTGTAAAATATTATTTATCGACGATGGGAAAAATTAATTGTTTTTTAATAATTTCTGCAATCAGTTTTGACAAATATTTTGCATCAAAACAAATTTATAAAAAAATTAATAGGAAAGAAATAGATTTTAAAATATAATTTTAAATTTGTATTTTTCTTTTTTTAAAAAAAATTATTAAGTAAACATTACACATATTTTCGATTATTTTAGAGAGTATGACAGATGAGATTAATATTCCAACGCGTTTAGTGACACGCTTACATTGTTTACATTTGCATCAATACAAATTTATAAAAAAAAAAATAATCGGATAGAAATAGATTTTAAAATATAATTCCGAATTTGTAATTTTTTTTAAGAAAAAATATTATAAAATATTATAAAAATATTAAATGAACATTACATATATATTCTCGATTATTTAAAAGAGTACGACAGACGATTAATATTCCAACGCATTTAACGACACTTTTACATCGTTTACATTTGCAATACAAAATAAAAAAAAAAAAAAATATCGGATAGAAATAGATTTTAAAATATAATTCCAAATTTGTAATTTTTTTAAAGAAAAAAATATTAAACATTACAAATTTATAAAAAAGAAATCGCATTGAAATAGATTTAAAATCTAATTTCCAATTTGTAATTAATTTTGAAGAAAAAATGTGAAATGAACATTACACATATATTTTGGATTATTTAAGAGAGTACGACGTTTAACGACACACGCTTACGTTATTTACATTTGAGAAAAATGCACGAGGCAATTGAAGAAATAGAAGACTAGCCAAAGAATCTAGCTGGAGAAAATAAAAGATAGAAAAAGACCGAAGCGAGGCGCGTTTGAATCGAGCGCCTCTTCGCGCCACATCGCACGTCGATCGTAACGCGCGGAAACGTGCATCATTCGGAAAATAAGAAGGCCGGCATCGCAGATCGATATGGCGGTGAGCGAGGCGCGAATAGTCCGTATTCCGGCGCAACAGACTCGGGCGCGATATGTCGCGTAATCGGACGGTCGCGTTAGTCGTCCGGATCTCCGACACAAGGCATCTTCTCGTCGAGAATACTCGGCGTCGCGTTAAGCGCGTTTGAATTCGAGCGCCCTTCGCGCCATTCCCCGCGGCAGATGCACGAAGGTCAAAAGTATTTTAAAAATAAGGCCGTAGGCATTGGCAGATTGGTATGGCAGTGGACGTTAAGGGTCGGGTGGCGTTGTAATGGCAAAAAGTTTGCGAGAGGTGAGTAATCGACGTGTGCGGATACGGATAGAGGCGGATATTTGGCGTGCGCGGGATTGACGTACGGAGCGCAAGCTGGGCGAGATCGGTGTAAATAAAGCGAGGCGGCTAAGGTAGGACGAACGGTTAGAAATCGAGCGTCAACAAACGCGAGTTTTGCGCGAGGAGGCTCGTGCAGGCTAGACGAGCACGGCACGGCCGACAATGGCGCCCAAGCCTCGCGAATATTGACATTGCCAAAAACATTACCTCCGAATATATCGGATTATTATCGTATACGTGGGTGGCACGTATACTGCGTCGCAATTAGTGATCTAACCTCGCTCGGTGATCCCCGTGTCGCGGCTTTGTCGCGTAGAAATCCGTCCCGGGTTAACTCGATCGGGCTAAGGTTATGCGAAAAAATGTTTTCTGCACGTATAGTAGCGTGGCGTGAACCCTGAAGGGTTTTACAGTTATACTGCAATGTGGCACATTTGCAGAAGCACGGAGGACGTTGTGCGCGGGTATAGAGCCGCGATTTAATCCGCTCCGGGAGATATTGTCAGGACGATAGGAAAGTGTGCGTGGAGATTGTGTGTGAGTTAGCGATTTAAGGGTTAGGGAGGGCATTCGGTTTGGTCAGGGTTATAGCATTACGTTTTTTATGTAGACAGTTCAGGGCAACTAGTTTGCTTGTAGGGTCGGGATTGGAGATAGACAAGATGGACCAGCAGTATTGTCTACGGTGGAACAATCATCCAGCCAACCTTACAGACGTTCTCAGCTCGCTACTTGCTAGAGAGGCACTTTGTGACGTGACCCTGGCCTGTGTCGGAGACACATTCAAGGCACACCAGACCATACTCTCCGCATGCAGTCCATATTTTGAGAGCATTTTCATACAAAACACCCATCCCCATCCAATTATATTCCTCAAAGATGTCAATGATACAGAGATGAAGGCATTGCTGCACTTTATGTACAAGGGAGAAGTTAACGTTAGTCAGCATCTGCTACCAATGTTCCTTAAAACAGCGGAGGCATTGCAGATCAGAGGCCTCACTGATAATAGTGTAAATAACAAGACGGAGGAGAAGAGTCCGTCACCAGAGCCAGAAACACAACCTGGAGTCAGACATACCGATTCGCCTAATCTCCAGTCCCATCCCGATAAAAGGAAAAGAAAGCATTCAGGCAGCTACGATGTTTCCCTTTCTGGCCCGCCTAGTGAGAGATTCCTGTCCGATTCTCAGGTACATAACACGACATATTATTTCTTGTAACTATTTTCAACTAGATAATGTAACATTTTTTATTCTTTTTAACGTGCACATTTATCATCTTTCATGCGCAAGCTATATTTTTCATCTTAAAGCTCAATCGAGGAAAATTATATTAGAATGGAGCAATGTGATATATTTTCCTCTTTAAGTTTATACAGATGTATTTTTTTCAGAAATATTTCCATTAGAATATAGGTTAAATACAAGTTTTATTTTATCCTCGTTACATTTCTTTGCAACAGAGAGCAAGATGGATATTATGCTGCATATTTTACTTATTAATTTCATAAATTGATTACATGTTAATATTTTTCTTCGAATTTTTTAAAATAAAATAACATACATATAAAATGTTTATATAAATACTGTTTTTATGAGTAAATTTATATAAATGTTGATTTCTGTTTATGTCAGTAAACATATGTTACCAATTAAAGATCTATTTGATTGCGGTCTCATATTATTATCAATGAATGTTATATGTATATGTGTGTGCACAGCTTTCCAAATAACTTTACTTGTAACCTTGAACAGTTTAGGCCAAAAGCTAAATATCTCTTGTATAATTCATGAAACAAATATTACCATAAGATATCTTTTACATACAGATGTAAAATTATATGTTTAAGATGAGATATATTCTGCTCCAAAATATTAAGCATAATTTGCTACATGATGCAATAATATTTGTAGACATGATTATTTAGTAAAAACTTGTCTTTTTATTTATTTTAATAATATTATAACGTCTTTTTTATTATAATAAATCCATTTATTATTTTTAGTCAACATAAATAATTAATTTATTTGAGTTTATTTTTTTTTAATTTTTTTAAAATCAAATTTTAATAATATTTAGAACAGATAAAATTTATAATTGATTGTTTTCAGACATCTTCGCAGTGTAGTTACAAATCAAGTCCTCCTGTAATTCCAAAATTAAATAATGCCCTGGGAGTTGAGATGGAAGATGGTGGTCGACCCATGTCCCCTGCTTCACAACCACAGGCTTCTATAAAACAAGAGGTGGATCATCACTTACCGGACTTCCATGACAATATTTCCCTCCCTGTAAGTAATCTTTTATGCATTTCATGTTTTCATTTTGATTAATCATTTTCTTTTATATACATTGCACCTAGTTTTAAACATGTATATATATTAACCTTCCAGCAAATATACACATTAGCATACACATTTGTTAACATAAAAGAATAACTTTAAAAATTTTTAATCTTTTAAACTTTGCATATTATTATGTGCAATTATATATGTGTATTTTTTTCCTTTTATTGATACATAAGGTAATTATAAATATTTTAACAATTACTATTTATACAGTTGAAGAAAATATATTATTTCCTGATATATTTATTTATCATACTGGTGTAAAAGATAAAGAAGATAAGAAATGTATTTATGCTCTTGTTTTTTTATGATTCTGATTTTACAAGACTGAATCAAAAAGTTATTTTTATTCATATTTGACATTTTATCATATTTATCTGTAAGCATACATATTTTTAAGTAGTATATTATATATGCACTATTATTTGATGTATTATTTTTGCAATATATTTTTTTAATAATTGCTTTTGTATTTAAGAATGATATATGTCAATTTACATAAGTTTTTTAAAATAATGCACATATAAATTGCTTGAATATTCTGTGGTGTGAGGTGTTTGTATAACAAGGCACTTAGTACATATTATTCCAGCATGTTTTATTCTGATCATATTTATTTATTAAGATATTTTTATTTTATCCGTAGTTTTTTTTTCGAAGATGCTATATGCTCTTCTCGCTTAAAACGCTTTGCACATTCGTGAATGAAGTGCAAAGTTCTCGTAATATATCGTGGAGATAATTTTCCTTGTGACGGAGTTTCGTTACTGTTCCCACAACTGATGACGATTACTTACCGTCATCCTACAACTACTCAGTCAAAACAGACATGGGAAGGAAGGGATTTTCTAATTAGAGATTACAGAATTGGCTTTTCTGCTAAAAAAGATCAATCGATCGAGATGTGTTGATTAAGCAGATATCCTTTCCTTCTCTGTTGACAGACTAGTATGGAGTGGGAGGTTCAGAGAGATGGGAAGAGTGACGAAACTATGGATGTACAGAACATGACTTCAAATCGTCCAGATTCGGCTGTGGTACAAGTTTCTCGCGAAAGTGCCATCATGGCTGGAGGTTCTCTCTGTGTCAATATGTCAGGAACTGCATCTGAATTTTCTGGAAATTTGTATAATCTAACAAGTCAAACCGTACTCGTGAACTCGCATCCTTCGTATAAAAACGATAACATTAATTCAATGAAATCTTATCCTGAAACGTTATCCGAATGTAGTCCGAATGTTAAAACGCCTGATAATGATATGCGTAGATCACTACGAATAAATCAGGAACCGGGAATGTCCGTAATTCAATCAACATTGTGTACCAACTTGCAGCGTTCTACTCCGCAAAGTAGAAAGGCTGGTAGATTTAAAGCCGGATGGTTAGAAACATATTCCTGGTTGCAGTATGACGAACGATCGAATCTTATGTTTTGCAAATACTGTAGAAAGTGGAGCGAATCCATACCAGAAATTCGCACTTCGTTCGCTGCTGGAAACGGCAATTTTAGACTCGAGATCGTAAACCATCATGATAAATGTAAAGCACATAATCTATGTATAGCTAAAGAAATCGAGGCAAAAAAAAATTACGTTTACACAACAAAGACATGCTAGCCTTGATACTTATTATTTTATTTTTATTGTGCTTATCTAGCTTGTAATTTGTTTCGCTCAATTAATTTAAAAGAAATTAATATTTATAAATGCAATATTTACACACACATGCACACCACATTTGTATAAAGTATGCTTCAAAGTTTTAACTAAATTTTTGTTTCTTATTGATCCGTTTTAATCAAATTTGTAATCAAGAATCATAATGAGAAATTTGTGTGCTACACGCGCACTGTTATTTGCCTAGCCGATCTCTTTGATACTACTAAATCCTTTTTTCCAAAATTTCTTATATTTTAATTTTAAATTTTATGATTCTTAGATTTTTCTAATTGATCATGTTTTTAACATAGCAATATTTTTGTGTGCCTTCATACTTATTAGTTAGTTTGACATATTCTTTATCAGATGATTTTATTGATGTTAAAGTTATTGTTATATATATATATATATATATATATATATATATATATATATATAGATTAAGACAAGTAAATGTACACTATTATAGTATACACTATTATATTGTGTTAAAGATGCAAAAAAAAATATATATATATATAATAAAATAAAGTTATTAATATTTTTATTTTATGAAAAATATATGATATATACATGAATTTATTGCGATCGACAAGATATAATTTATATAACAATTGTACATTTAAATAGTCTACAAATTAATTTGTAAAATTTTTATATGATCTTGAAAAGTGCGCAAACAGATGAATAAATAAAATTTAGAATTTTATATATTCTGAATATTTTTATTTTTACAACGATAAGGCAGAATATTTCTGAAATGATTGAGAAATGTAGAAAAATTTTAATATCTATAAAAATACACATTGTTATATAACTATGTATTGTAAGATAGCAGTTATAATATATTAACAAATTTTCAATATATGAAAAAAAAAAGAATGCAAATATTTCTGAGACGAAAATATTTTTGTGATGGATTCTTATATTTTTAAAGAAGGAATAAAAATGGACTAATGTAAAAATTATTTGTTACATTTTATTAATTAAAATATTTGATTTTCTTTAATTAGAAATTACTATTTTATATTTAAGTCTGATTAAAAAATTGTGTCACTATTGTTTTTTTATTGTTATTAAAAAAACTATATAAATGTTGATAAGAGAAATAAATATTATATATAATATATCAATTTAAGTAAACCCACGTCATATAACTATTATTTACATGTGAGTAATATTTATAAATCCGTTAAACATTATTGTCACAAATGCTTATTTATAAATGTATATAATCATTTCGTGTGCAGGGTCATCCAGTCGGACTGATGGGAGAAGATGGAGGGACCACGGCAGGGGCGCTCAGTGATGGTGTTCAGGGGATCGAATCATCCGAGCACCACAATCCCCCGGAAATGCTCGACGGACTTGATGGTAAGACTTGCACATATTTTCAATTTTACGACCAAAATTTCATCTAGATTTAACATATTTCCTTGTTTTTCCGTAAGCCATTTTAATGTGCGATAAACTCGTATGTTATATGAAGATAATATATCTCAAACATGATTAAACAATCAGATATGATTGAATATTACGATAAAAGATTTATCAATGCATTATTTTACGACTTGCTGTAAGTATCGCGTTTAATTCATGACAATCTCGTCAACATCTGATTTTGCATCTTTTAAACACTTTGATATCTCGCAGGCGAAGAGAATGAACTCTTTGTCAGTCGATGTGTGGGAAATATGTTACATCTAAGAAATCGAGGGAAATCTGCATGCACGTTTTGCAAGGATTTGACACGAATCGAGTCGTACGTAGGTATCGTACGAAGCGAGCATCCCTCTATTTCCAAATCTGGCAAGTGTAGTGAGTGTAATTTTAGAAAGTCAAAAATTTTTTCTATATATGTATATATATGTACAATATTTGTACATGTATATATGTACGTGCATGTGTATACATATATTCATATATATATATATATATATATATGCATACATATTGACACAAATATGCACCATCTGTGTATATATACATATATACATATATATACATATATATATATATATATATATATAACTACATATGTATATTACATGAACCCTTGGTGTTGTGGTGATGGTATCGTGCATTTGCTACGTCATTGTGGTAGTTTTTAATTACGTGTGTTAATATATACAGAAAACATATAACAAAATTTCTCGTTGGTTTGGGACATGGTATCAGCAAATGGACTGTACTTCTATCTTTTTTTTCTCTCTCTTTTTTTCTTTTTTTTGTTGTGTCCGAGATTGCGATGGTGTGTGGGTGCGATTGGCTGAGTTCATCTCGCTGTTCTTGCACGTGCGCGGGCGCGCGTGCGTGCGTATGCGTGGTGTCACATTAACGAACTCCATTTGCGTGAATGCGCGTAAATGTGCGCCGTGGTGCGAGATAACGTGTACATACAAACACATGTATTTCATATGTATGCGTGTGCGTATATATATATATATATATATATATATATATATATATATATATATATGTATGTATATGTATATATACACACACATGTTATATGTGGATATATATGCCATATATGCATATACTGCGTGCACGTGCGGATGCAGATATACGCATATATGTAATTTTCACGACGGGACTCTTTGTGCATGTCTCTACGCTGTATTTTTTTTTCTATTCTCTTATATACCCTTTGCCGTATCTTGCGTCACCGTGCCTAGCGATCTTGATCTTATATATTCTCACGTCTCTCTTGCGCTGTTCGTTTTGATCTATACGAATGAACAAGAATATTAGCAACAAAATGTGCAGTCGGCGCATCTCGTTGCGCAATCCGTCGTTTGCTTTAATAAACTTGCCGATCGCGGGAAAAAAATTCGTTACATAAGACGTTTCCTATACACATTGTTTGATATCAGAGATGAATGTGGAGGCTAACGCGATTATTCAAGAACGGAGGATCCGAGAATCCTATAATTCCAAAAGATCTATCCTAAAATTAGAGATGCTAAAATTTTTTCACTTTAAAAAATCTAAAATTCGCAGATCTTTTAATTTGAAAATCTTCATTGATTCTAGGAGAATTAGGGATTCGAAGATTCTTAGATCCGAGTTCTTGCATACGTTTTTTTGTATAATTACAAAAAGTAAACATATAGATAAGGATTTAAGAGATAAAACATTTTTAACGAGATATCTTCTATCGTTTATTCGCATTAATACGTCACGCTTATTTATAGTCATACGATTCTTATCCACTGCGCATCGTCGATGCATTAATAATAGTCGCTAGCAGCAGCAGAAGCAGCTGCAGGAAAACTCGTAACCCTAGGTATCATTTTTCCTCCTAACGATTATTTCTGAAGCTAAGAAGTATAAACCGCGATTAAACCGCTCATTAAATTGATTTTGTTGCTAACTCTATACTACGTTTATATTTTGCATCCTCGACCTCGTGGTGATCTCGTCATCGTCGTCGTCGTCGTCGTCGTCGTCGTCGTCGTCGTCGTCGTCGTCAAATAGTCGTTGATAGCCGCTCGATTATATATTCCTTTCGCGCGGTTGCATATTCATATTATATTTAGTTAGTTAAAATATTATACGAGATACATTATGCAATAATTGCCAATAGTCGCGGGATATGCGCGTTTGATCTTCGATGGAGCAATTTATGTATAGGCGGTATTTGAAAATGGGGTGGGGGGCAAAGTCGATAGTTCATATCGCGATTTTTGTAGATGGAATTTGTCGTGCAAACATCGGTGAATTTCTCTTCTTATTCTGAGATCTTTACATTGAACATTTATTTTCTATTCGATTTTCTTTTTCTTGATTTGACGTCTTTTTCCTTCCTTCTTTTTCTCCTGTACGTATTGTGACAGTATCTTTAGTCTCTTGGAACGCGATGAGATGACAGTAGAATTGCGCTTTTTACATTGTTATTGACATTTGCTACGAGTAGGTAATTATAGATGAGAAAGAGCACGGGGTGAAGTCCTTGATGGAATTGGCTGATTCTTCGTCTTGTTTCCGATAAATGCAGAAAAGTTTCAATTTCCTTTTTTCAATTGTCCTTGGATCTTCCTGTTTTTCTATTTTTATATCTGTTATTTCTTCTGTGTAATTTCTTCATTACATTTACATGCATATATGTTTTCAGCGCTTATGAAAACAAGAGAGAAAATTAAGCAATTCCATTTATGTGCATTACCCTGTATAAATACAAGTGTGATGTTCGTTATGATATTCTCGTTGACTTTGAACGTAATAGAGAGAATTCCTTTTTCTCTGCAACTATTTGACGTAGAGTGTGACTTATGGGAAGTATGCAGGGTGCTCCATTTAACGTTATCATCCGAAATGCCTTTTTTCGCAATGGCAATCTGTCATATTTAAGACATTTAAATATTTCGAAAATGTATTTTAAAAATGAATCGAAATTAGTAAAAAAAAGATTCGTTTAAAAATTCGAAAAATATAAATTTTACTTTTATAAAACATAATAGTATAGCTATAATAAACTATTATTTAGCTTTATGCATACTATGTTCAATCTATGTAATGAAGAATTGGAAATTTTTTAATACGCAATTTTTGCTTTATTAAAAACAATAATTAATAAAGTAATATCTATCCCGTAAAAATTCTTATTTTAGAAAAAAATGTTAAAGTGCATATTCAAATAATATAAATATAAAAAAGAGGTAAAATCTTAAATGTAGAATATTTTTATTTCGAATATCATGCAAGAACAAAAAATATATTTATGTTGTAGAAGCAGTTAATAATATTGCGATTTGATATTTATTTTTGAATCTTTTATTTTCTAATTTTGTATTTATATATTTTTTATTAGATTGATTAGGCGCGATTTTCTTTTTAAAACCAAGAGATATTATATCGCAGATAACATTGCGTAAGAAAAAGGAAACGATTAAGTGTGGTAACGTCGAATCGACCATTCTTATCTTGGGATGATACTAGTAGACACAGTTGGCATTGTCGGTGGATTATGATGATAAATTCATTGAAACGGGACCTTGTATTCCAGGAACGACAAGGACTTGCAAAAAAGAGGATATAAGTAAAGACAGTCACAATAAGTTAGAACATTCGCAGATCGGTATGGAGTGCTGCAAGATCTGCGGCAAGAGCGTAGCCAACATAAAAAAGCACATGAAATCGCACAATCCCGATAAACACGTATGTCACATTTGTATGATATCGTTGACCAGGTCTGACAATTTGAAAAGGCACATTAAGTTGAAACACGGAATGCCACAAGAGGGCTTGCTATCACCGTTTACGCGTATGGAACCTAAACATTTCTTAGCCAAATCCGAATCGCATTTCTTGACTTAGTAACTCTTGCGTTGCATAATAAGAGGCAGTGCATACACGTGCAAAGTATACCTATCATGAATTGCGTAAATCTTTGAATTAAGAATATTATGACTTGAATCGATGCAGGCGTTATTGAGATACAATAATTTACGGTACTCAATTAGAGAACGCATTAAACTATCGCACCTAGAAAACTGCATAATCTATCCCTATCTTGTCGCTGATACTTAGCGTGACTATGTCGTAGGTTCCATTCATCCTTGAATTTTCAAAGCCTTGGATGCTTGAGTCCTTCGATTCTTAAGAAGACCTCGTATAATGCATATACTTTATTCTTACATAATTTTTATTTTCCTATCGTAAAGTGTAAGTTTAGATTCGCGCGCATATATTAGAGAGCTAACTTGACATTCAACTTTTTGTCCGTGTTTCAAGTTTCACGCGTAATTAATAATAATTGCTACGATCAACGAAGTGTCGACCTCGTCGCACAGCTGCTATACGTGACACCTATATAAGAAAAGCCTATATAATGCCGTTACGCGCGCGTAAATTTTTTTCTCTCATTTTTTAAGTACTATTATAATTAAAATTAAATCTATTTATTCTTGTGCGTTTGTAACTTCTAAGTATTTAATTCTAATGAATTAATGAATAAGAGACATGGGATCCGTTCTCGCTCAAGAGAACTAAAGCTCCCTTAGATGTAATGGAGTATTTATAAAATCAGTGGCCAGAGATCTCAGTGAAAGTAATATCGAGTACAAAGCTTAATTCGTGTTCTACCTCCCACTGATCGTCTAATATCGTGTAACATCGCGTATTGTTCCGAAAGATGAGTAACGTTCCTTCAAGATTACGGGGTTTATTCTTTGATCTCGTAATCGTTCTTTTCATTAACAATTATTTTGATTCTGAGGATTTGGCTTCTCCGATCTCTACGTTCAAATTTTTTGATTCCAATATCTTTGGCTTTTTCGTTTAAATAGGCGTGGCAGAAATATTATTTTTATTAAAAATATTAAATATTTTGCGTGCATGTAAAAAAGTTTTGCATTATTCTGATTATATTG